AGAATTAATATGAGCGAGGTGTCTCGCTATGGATGCAGCCTCCCTGCAGCCCTGATAGAAGCATTTATCTCAATCCGCCAATCCTGATTGGCCCGGTGAAGGTGTTCATGCCGCCGCCGCACCCCCAGTAGTCCCACCACTATATAGAAGTGCGTGCAGATAACACTTGCTCAATTCAATAAGCAAACCTCTTCTCACCGCCCAGCAAGAAGGGTTGTTGGCGAGACACCTCGCTCATATTATTCTAAGAACTGCGGTTATGTTAGATAACAAACGTTCTTCTTCCATTAATATATCACTCGGTGTTTCCTATGGGATATGGTAGCTCCGTATTGCCAGACAGCTTATTATTAAGTACCGGCCGGGGGGGAGGGTCCATGGGTTCCAGTTAGACTCCAGGACCGCGCTGGCCACACACGGCCTGACACGTCAAGCATGGTAGAACAGACAAAAGTCATGAGGTGAGACCAACTCGCTGCTGAACAAATGCCTGAACAGACACTCCCCTAAATAAGCCCAGGATGCGGCCATCCCGCGGTAGAGTGCGCACGCAAAAGCCCGCCGGCGGCTGCAGACCCCTGCTCGTATATGCCAAAAGCTATAGCCTTCCTACCACCGTCAGTGGGCGATGCGCCTGCTTTGTGACCGGGCTGCATCCCTCTTCGGGGTTCGCCCGGTGACAAAGAGCCTGATCGCTCCTCCTGATGCTTTGTTCCTGTCCATATTAAGAGACGCACGCTCGACTGACACACATGTGCAGCTCGCTGCTCACCGGGAAAGCGGTGAACGCTGCGAGCTCGATCGGGAATGATCACTCCCACCTTAGGTACAAAAGACCGGGTTGGGCTTCAGAACAACGGTTTCCCGGGCGTAAACTGAGCGATGCAGGGCTCACAGAGAGCGCATGGATATTCATCATCGCTTTGCGGAGGCGAGCTGCGGTTATGTTAGATAACCAAATGTTTTGTCTGGTCAATGGTAACAGTTTTACAACTGTATATATGTTATTAATGATGTTTTCATGTCCTTTCCAGAGGTCACATGTCCAGTTCTAGGGAATGTGGCTAAAGGCAAAGTGACTCTTGTCTTGACAGAATATTTCGACAGAGATTACATCTATGTGACCTGTGACCAAGGATACAAGCTGATGATGGTTTAATGTTTTTTCGTTCACTGACATTGCTTGCTGTCCTTTGTGTTAATTTTTGTTGTATGAATTAGACAAATATATATTACACTTGATCAGTCCACTATCTTTTCTCAGGATGGTCGAGAGATCAAGATGTTCTCAGCCACGTGTCAAAGCGACGGACAGTGGACCCTCCCTCTGCCAGAATGCCATAGTATGTCTGTTCTGACCCCAAATTATTTTATTTACTCAAAACTTAGCTGAACTGACCAAATATTAATGGGACCACTACAGAAAACTGCAGATGAACTTTTAATATCCGGGAATTTATATTATAGACACTACTACTGACTATTCGTGTAACAATTTGGTCACATTATAACACAATGACCACTAACAGTCCAGCCATATACTATGTATTGACCTAGTCAAGTTTAGAGTTTCTAAGAGTTAAGGCAGAAATGAGTTTTAAAGACATTCCTTGTTAAAACTGCACACTCCATTTATCAAAACAGGCAACATAATAAATATATGCATCAGCAAAAACCCACAGCAAATCAGATCCAAACACAAAATTACACTTCCCAATACTGCTACCACATAACAACTACAGTCCAATGAAACTAATCTAATACATTTCCTGTCACTGGCCAGATATAAATTTGTTCTTGTTTTTTGATCTTCTGCAGTAATTGATTGTGGAGAACCCAAATCTTTGCTGAATGGAGGGGTGACCTTTCTGTCTGGCTTTCAGAATCAGTACCGTTCTGTTGTTCAGTATCACTGTAATGAACCATTTTACTCTCTCCCTGGGGGCGTAAATTGTGAGATATTTCCACATATTCTCAAAATGTCATTAATCATTTTTTTTATTTCTGATATAGCTTAATTTAAAATTAATGCCATTTTCTTGTTCCCTCTGATCTTCAGTTACTTTCACCTGTGACGCAGACAGAAAATGGAGATCCAACCATGATACTGATGTCACTGCAACATGTATACCTGGTATTGGCACCCTGTAATAGCTAATCTTGGATGCTTTTCTTAAAAATTAAGTCTGTGTCTGTGTGAACCTAAATTATGTCTGTCTTATCCAGTCTGTGGCCAGCCCACAAAACACATCTCTACCTATCAGAGGATCATTGGAGGCAGTGAAGCTCCAGACAATACCATCCCCTGGCAAGTGCTACTGAGTATAGATGGTCAAAGAGCAGGAGGAATGGTGATTGCAGACCGCTGGATTATGACTGCAGCTCAGATCCTAAAACATAATGGAAACACAGTACCAAATGAGGCTTTACGGGTAAGTGGGTAAGCTTTATCTGCATTCCCATTGCCTTCATGTTTTTGAACAGACATTTATTTCCTCCTATGCTATTGATTTGCAGGTTTATGTGGGATTCACTAATGTTAACACCCTGAGGCAATCTCCTGTGTATACTGCCTCAATCCATGTTCACCCTGAATACAACAATCCTAACTACGTAGACTTCAACAATGACATTGCCCTGATTAAACTGCGAGAACCAATCACATTCAGAGCATCTGTTATGCCAGTATGTTTGCCAGCAGAAGGTGCCACATATGTCACTGGCATGATGGGGTAAAGAAACAACTTTAATTTTATAATGTTGTACAATCCATTTTATATTTATTTATTTTCTCAACTTTTTGTTTAGTAAACTTAGTAATTTTACCTTGAATTTAAATCTTCTTATTGCCTTTTGTCTTTGCACTTTTCTCATGAGTTCCCCATAACTGTCTCTTCTACATTTTTTTCAGACTGGTTTCAGGTTTTGGCCTCACAGGAAGTTACCGCAGCCGGATTTTGACAAATAAGCTGAAGTACGTGCAGCTACCTGTGGTGGAGCAGGAGACATGCAGGGCTTCAATCACTTCAGCTAAAAAGAAAAGGAACAGTGTACCAAGTCTGACAAATAACATGTTTTGTGCTGGAGTCCCTGAGGGTTGGAAGGACTCCTGCCAAGGTGACAGTGGAGGCCCTTTCACCATGAGGAATGACGGA